CGACTCATCATGACCATATGAACAAAAGATCTGGACCTAGTCCTGTTCTGCGCCATCTTAACACTTCCTGACACACAGAGCCCATTGCAGCAGTCACTGTGTCAATCCACCTGGTTGAGAGTCTCCCTCTCTTTCCTGGACCCTCAACCTTCCTAACATCATGTCCTTCTTCAAGGAACAGCACTTTCTAGCAACATGTCCAAAGTATGTGAGTCGAAATCACATCATTCTTGCCTCCAAAGAACACTCTGGCTGCACCCTCTCCAAGACGTATCTATTTGTTCTCTTGGCCGTCCATGGAATGTTTAGTGCTCTTCTCCAACACCACAGCTCAATGGCATCAATTCTCCTTCTGTCATCTTTATTCATTGTCCAGGTCTCAGCTGCATAGCTAACAATTGGAAAGACCATGGCCTGAATCAGATGCACTTTAGTCCTCAAACTGACATCACTACTCTTCAATAATTTAAAAAGGTCTTTAACTGCAGATTTTCCCAATGCAATATGTCTCTTTATTTCCTGACTGCTTATACCAAGGGTATTAATTGTGGATTCAGGCAAGATGAAGCTACTGACAGTTTCAATCTCCTCTCCATCCGTCATGACACTGCCTATTGGTCCAATGGTAAAAAATCTTTATTTTCTTGATATTGAAAAGCAATCCATATTGAAGGCTGCATTCCTTGATCTTCTGCAACTAGTGCTTCAAATCCTCCTCACTTTCAGCAAGCAAGATGTGTCATCTGCATAAGGCAGGTTTTTGATGAGTCTCCCTCCAATCCGTCAGAGCAGCTTGAACTTCTTCCTTCATCACCATTGCCTCTTGGTCATGTTGTTTCATAAAATTCTTCTTTGTCAGCTAATTCTTTTTGGTACAGTGACTCTGTTTACTCCTTTCATATTCTTTTAATACTTCCTGGATCGTTCAATATTCTGTCCATAGCATCTCTAAGTATTGCCACTAGAAGCTTGAATTTGTTCTTCAGTTCCGTCAGCTTAAGAAATGCCAAGCAATTGATTTTCTGACCTCTAGCTCTTTGCATATTTCATTGTCACATGGATCTTGGCTGAAAGCAGAGAGTACCCGAGGAATGTCTCTTTCTTTCATTGATACAAAGACATTTGACTACATGGATCATGACAAATTATGTCTAACCTTGAGAAGAATGGAAATCCCAGAACACTTGTTTGTGCTCATGCAAAACCTAAATTTGGACCAGGAAGTGGTCCTCAGAACAGAGCAAAGAAATACTGTGCCATTCAAAATTAGGAAAGGAATGAGGTAGGGATGCATCTTGGTTCCAAACCTTTTCAACCTATATGTGGGACAGATCATTCTGGAAGTTAGAGTCTATGAGGAGGAATGTGATGAGGAAGACTCATCAACAACATGCATTGCGCAAATGACACAACGTTACTTGCCCAAACAGAAGACAGCCTGAAGCATTTGCTGCATAAGATCATAGACTGTAATCTCCAATAGGGATTGAAGCCTAACATCAATAAAAACAATGATTTTCATCGCTGGGCCAATTGACAGCATCACGATTTCAACTTGCTCAGATCACTCTTGGCATCAGTAGTCAGGAAATCAAAAGATGGATTGCATTAGGAAAAACCTGCTGTCAGAGACTTCTCCAGAGTGCTAAAGAGCAAAGAAGTCAGTCTAGAGACTAAGGTATGCCGGATTCAGGCCATAGTCTTTGTAGTTATTTGCTATGCATGAGAGAGCCGGACACTGACTGAGGATAACAGTAAAAGAATCAATGCCTTTGAATTGCTCAAGAAGAGTGTTAAACTTTCCATGAACTATCAAGAGATATAACCATAAATAATTTCACAAACATTTATGGAACCTGTATCTAAAGTATCGTTAAATTTCTATGTAAGAAGATAAATTTTATTCTCAGATAAAATGACCTAGGAGGTCAATTAGGGGAAAGGCTCACTCCCAGAGCCAGCATACGGAAGTGTTAGGGCGAGAGCTTCCTGGTATCCTCCTGGCCAGAAGCTGCTCCAGTTCCGACACCTGGTCATGCCACTCTGTAGACCTAAGAAAAACAATAGACTTCAGAAGAGCGGACTTCAACCAGGTGAGAGACTCACTCCCAGAGCCAATACACCTTGTGGTGCTGGGGAGAGAGGGGCCTGCAACTCCTTGAGAGGGAAAGTTCTCCAGGGGGCTGCCATCAGGGGTGAGACTAACACCCAGAGCCAGCATATTGAAATGCTAGCGTGGGATCTTCCTGCAGAAGATTCCTCCTCCAGAATACTCCGGTCCAGGAACCTGGTCGAGGCACTCTGCATCCCTATGAAGAAAATAGATTTCAGAACCAGGCACTACAATCAGGTGAGAGACTCACTGCGAGTGAGTCTTCAACTCCCCAGGAGGAAAACAGTTCCAGCAGTGGAGCAGGGGCTGGTGGGGCCAGCCCATAGACCAAAGAGGGCAATAGATTTCACAAGAGGGGGCTGCAATCAGAGGAGAAGCCCAATCCCAGAGCCAACACCTTCTGGTGCTGGGGCATGAGGAACCTGCAACTCTCTGAGAGGGGAAACTGCTTCTGCAGGTGGGACACCTCGCTGCCGCTGGAACAAAGAGGACAAATAGAATTTCAGACAGAGGGCTGAAATCAGGCAAGAGACTCACTACCAGAGCAAACAAATTGATGTGTTGAGAAAGAAACTGCCAGCCATACCCCCACCACCTCAAATAGAAACTCTTCCAGGTCAGGAACCTGGCAGTACCCACTGCAGCTCAACACAATAAGCTTCAGGAAAGGGGGCTACAAAAAGGTGACCTTCCTGCAGGGCTATCCTGTAGACCAGAGAGAATCTGAAAGACTTTAGGAATGGCAGACTTACCTGCAGCAAAGGTCTAGATAGAATTCCCACAGAATAATTTCCCCATCCCTAAAGACAGAAAACTTTAAGCCTGCAACTAATTAAAAAAAAAGTTGAAGAACTGTCAACAACCTATGCAGACACAATAGAAAAGCCTGACACCCCCCCCCCCCAAAAAAAAGTCATATAATATCAAGAAAAACAGAGAGGAAATAGAAGGAAAATTTATAAACTATTAGAATTATGTGGCATAATATAAAAAGAAACAGCATATGAAAATATATTGAAATAATAAAAAATATCTTCTCAAACCAGAATGCCATAAAACTAGAAAATAATAATACTTCTTACATTCCATGTTCCAATCACTGCTTACAGCTGTTTTTCCTCCTTTGTATTTCCCCATATGAGGCTATCATGCTGTATTCTCCTGGAATTTTAAGTAAGTTGAAAACTTTATTGAATGATTCATGGTGGCTCAAATTTCCACTCAGAGGCATCTCAAGTGGACAGGCTGCTGGTCTGCTTCTGAGAGCTGATGGCCTTGAAGACCCTGTGAAGCAGGTCTACATGGAGCTGGAACTGACAAGACAGCAAGTAACAGCAACAATGTGTGCATTAGCACACAACCTGCAATTGCAGATGTTAATATTACTCTTATACATGAAATAATAAGACAAAGTAACAATTGAAGTAACTATCTGTACTGTACATTCACAGAAATTAAGACAAAGGAATTTAAAAAGGTTGCTATGAGTAGCCTATGACTCAACTGCACTTTAATTTGCGACACTGAGGCCTGTTTTTCATTGTTTTTGGCAAAACGTTCTTGTAGGTCATAAAGCCCTGATCTGTCCACTTGCTGTACAGAGGTAACTTGTGGTCGCTGTGAAGCTGAACACTGTGTCACTGATGTGTCAAATGTGTTAATGGCTGGTTACCCAAAGTGGACAGAGTTGAGTGGAGCTCCCCGAATAAAACAAGCTTGGAAGCAGGTGTGGCATCCACTTCCATAACAGCTTCCTCCGGAAACCCTATGAACCTGGAGAAAGGATGAAAGTCACACTAGTGTTGAAGACTTTCCTTCATAGGGTCACTGAGTCGCCTACAACTGGAAGGCTCTTAACAACAACAACAACAGAATGAAAATCTTTCCAGGATGGGAACCAAAATTCCAAGATATAATTCTTTATTTTGTTAATCATATAATTTTAAAAATATATAAAATGATTTATGCAAGACATTTTATAAAAATATCTTTAAATAATGCAGTGATTCAGTTTAATGAATTTCAATGTAATGAATAGACTGAGTTGTCTTTTTTTTTTAATGGCAACAATAGAAAAGCCCTCAACGTTCACATTATGCAGCCAAAGCTTCAGCTCCGTCATAATCAGTTGGGGAAAGGGAGGAGATAGCAAAGTTTTAGTTGGGTTACTGGTGGTTGCCAGGAAACATAGAAAGACACCAGCACGGAGCAGACAAACAACTCCATACTGCTGGAAGGTGGCCTTCAGAGGAGAGTGCTTTGTTTATGGAAGTAAGGTTAGTCAATGGGCGTCTGACAAGTTGATTAGGAATGAATTTAAAATGAGAATCAGAAGCTGCCTTCTGAGTTGGTTGCTATAAACGTGGTGAAAGCTTAAACCAGTTTTAATAAAACCAGGTTGGAAAGAATGTCATGCAAGGAAGATTTCTTAAAGTATTCTATGCTGGATTTGGAAAATAAACTGAAATTAAAGAAGTATCACGGTCAACGGGGACTTTTTATTATTATTATTAATTTTAATGACAATTTATAGAGATTTTGGATTTCCATTTATTCATTGTTATACCTTTCTCCCTGCCTGCCCACCTTTCCCCTCCAATTCGTTTTTCTCTTTGAAAAGTAAAATTCTTTCATTGTTATACAATCCCTCCCCCCAAGTCCACCCCACTATGCAGCCTTCATTCTGGACTCATCAACAAGGACTTTTATGTCCTGCCTCTCACCTTGAACCTTTCTATCTTCTTTTTACTTTTAAATGTTTGCACTTTTATTTTGTAGTTCTATGGATAAGTTGGATTTCTTTCAAGGTTCCTAATGAAAATACCCACAAATAAATAGTTGATGGCTGCTGGGAAGCAGAGGAACAATCATGAGTTACCATAAAGCAATGTCTGAGCCAAAAGCGGGGTCATTGCTTGAGCACATGAACTCTGGGAGAGCAGACGGTGTCCCTGCAGATGGAGACGGTGGCCAGGCCTCGCTGGAAAACCAGCTCAGCGTGGCTGACTTTGTCAACATACAGAATGCTTTTGAGGTAAGCACTAACATTTCCTGGAGATGTTGTCGCGTTTACGAGAGATAATTAATGAAAGAGAGGGAAGCTTTTTGGTGGTTTTTTTTTTGTTGTTGTTGTTGAATTTTGTATGCCTTAACATTGAGGTGGAGGAACAGCAAGAGAGGAAGACCTTCAACCAGGTGAATTGACACAATAACTGCAGCGATTGGCTGGAGCGTGTTTGAGAGGAGGAGGAAGGCACAGGCTAGGACAAGGGTCAGATGTGTTGTTAAGAGTCATATTCGACACCATCTAATAGCAACAGCAACAGACACTAGTACAGGGTATTTAAAGTGCATTGACCTAACCATGTGCTTGGTAACCCAATTCCTCAGTTCTCGGGACTAAATGTGACTATTTTGAAATGGTTACTGATAAACATCATCACTATAAAAGAGAGATAATTTATTCTTAAGCAGTATTTTTCTTCAGAATCAACACATTTTGGGGAAATGTGAGGATATGTTTCTGACTGGAGAAAGTGAATCTCAAAAACAGCTTCAGTCATGTCAGTCTTACATGTTACTGCGATTGTGCTTGTATTGTATTTGACATAGTGGGGCTTGTCCAATCTCATAGTGACCCTACTTCTGCACCGTCCCATAATCCGTGGCGGATCACACTGTAAATAATACTTTTATGATTTATAGATATTGGTGGCTGATCTTTGGAAGTTGATTGTCAGGCCTTCCTTCTGTTATGGACGTGTTGTTGTAATGCACCAGCCAGTAAGTAACTTCCATCTCATAGTGACCTTGTGTAAAGCAGAAAGAAGCTCTGCTGACCTCACACCCGCCTCATAAGCTCCAGTGTGCTTACATTACGGGATGAGTTCATCTCTCTGACGGCCTGCCTTTCTTTTGCTAATCCTCTACTTTTCAGAGAAGCATGATGTGCTTCTCTGGAGACTGGCCCCTCCTTACATCATATCCAAAATGTATGAGGTGAATTCTTAATATCTTGGCCCCAAAGGAGAATTCTAATTGTACTCTTTACAAGATTGTTTGTTGTTGTTTTTCTGTGCTGTCGAGTCACTTGTGACTCATACTGCTCTATTCTGTGCCAAGCTCACTGTGTCTGACACACTCACCCTGATTACCCCAGTCACTGCATCAATCCACCTCATTGAGGGTCTTCCTCTCCTGCACTGTCCCTCCAACCTCCCAAGCATGACATCCCAACAAGGACTGGTCCCTCCTTGCAACATGTCTAAAGTATGTCAGAGGAAGCTTCAGAATCCTTGCCTCCAAGGAGCAGCCTGGTTTAACACTCTCTAGCATGAACTTATTCTATTCTTTTTGCCATCCTTGGTATATTCAATACTCTTCTCCAATACCACAGCTCAAAGGCATCAATTCTCCTGTCTTTCTTAGTCATTATCCAGCTTTCTTATGCATAGCAAGTGGTTGCAAAGACCATGGCCTCTATCAGGTGCACCTTAGTCTCCAGAATGACATCATAGTTTTTGTTTGTTTGGTTTTTTTGTTTTGAGAATATCTTCTGGCTAAACCTGGGCTTCTTTCTTCAGTAACATTTGTTCTGGATTATATGCTAATTTCTGAAGCAGTTGAGCACCAAATATTTGAGTTTTGTCCAGTGATTCTGTATTTGTTCTTTTTTTTTTACTATCTTTTTTTAATTTATTATATTCTTTTTTTATTTTTGTGTGCGTGTACTGTGAAATCAGATCTGACTGGTACAGGAGGAGATTGTCCCTCCTTCCCTGGCAGAGTACCTGGTGGATTCGAACCGTGCGCCTCTGGGATTGTAGTTGCAGCTCCTTGCCACTAGGCCACCAGAGCTGCTCCCCTATGTTCTTTTTTTTTTTTTTTTAACGATTCCTGTGTTATTCAAATTTTGTTGAAGAATCTCTTCTTGTAACTTAAGGCTTGAAATTTTTCTTCATTTCTTTCAGCTTTGGAAATGCCGAGCGTATTCTTCCTTTTGGGTTTTCTAACTTCGGGTCTTTGCATATTTTGGAAATCGTGGTGCTTTGTCTCCTTGAGCTGTCCTTTGAAATTCTGTTCAGCAATCTTTTAATGATTTTTTCTGTTCTCTTAGCTTCTTTATGTTCAAGAGCAATTCGGATATCTGCTTAGGTCTTTTCTTTTTCCCTTGTTTTTGTAATGACTTTTTGCTTTCTTTAAGTAAGATGTCCTTGATGTTACCTTACAACTCATCAGGTCTTCTTTGGTCCTTAGTGTTCAAATGCTTCTAATCTATTCTTGAGACGGTGTCTAAATTCAGGGGAGATGTCAAGGTCATATTTTAAATGTGGTGGATTTGCTTTAATTTTTTTGTTAGCTCTAATTTGAGCGTTACTCACTTAATTACTTACTTCGGCAGAGTCAGTTCTAAATAGTAGAACCATTCATCATTTCTGAGGCAGTAAATCACAATAAAAAGAAGCTGCCCGTCTTTCACCAGTGAGTGGAACCACCAGAGACATATAGTCTTTAGAGTTGCCACACGACTTAGTGTGGACTGTATCACCATAGTGCCCTAATTTGAAGCCAAATAAGAGTGATGGATAGTTTTGTTCTGATGACTGATTTTGAGCTTCTCGATACTTTTCACAACTGTAGTCCACCAGAGGAGATCAATGTGTATAGTTACTGCTTATTTTTTTTTAAGAAAGCTCTTTTGTCATTAATAAGTTATTTGTAACTTATGGACTCATATGGAATTTTACCATATGATTTCTGATCTCATTTCTTTTACCAAGGCCATAATTGCTATCATTTCTTCTTCCTTATTTCCAACTTTTGAGTTCTAGTCACCAGTCATTATTAGTGCATCTTGATGACATGCTCAATCACTCTCAAATTGCAATGTTGTTGTTGTTAAGTGTCAAGTCACAGGGGACTCATAGTGACCCTATTAATGAAAGACTTGAACACGTTTATAACTTTCATCCTTTCTCCAGGTTCATAGAGTTTCCAGAAGCAAACAATTTCGAAAGTGGATGCCACTCCTGCTTCCAAGCTTGTTTTAATCAGGGAGTTCCGCCAGACTGTGATAGTTGGGGAAAATCCTTAATTTTACCATCTTTGGCTTTAGTGCTTGGTGCATAAAGTTTAATAAAGTCTTTTTTTTTTTTGTATGCATACATTGCTAGGTGCCATCAAGTTGACCGTGGCTCATAGCAACTCTATGAACAACAGATCTGAACCTTGTTTGGTCCTGAGCCATCTTCACAATTCTGACATACTCAAGTTCATTGTTGTAATCACTGCGTCAATCCATCTCCTTGAGGGTCCTTTGATTTTCCTCCTTTTTTTCTGACCCGCCCCCTTTTCCAGCTTCCATGAAGTCCTTTCCCAGGACTGATGCTGTTAACAATATGCCCAAAGTACTTGTAATGTAGTTTCACCAACCTTGCCTTCAAGGGGTATCCTGGGGTATGCATGTTGCGTAATCATTTTATAATCAACAACATTCTACTTAATAATCTTGAGACATTCCTTTTGATGATAATGCAGCACCTTTACGTGCATAGTCGAGCATATGATTCTCTTATTCAAAATGACCATTTTAACTTATGACCTTGCACCTCTGGGCACACCCTTAGTGGCATACCTTCTCCAAATCTGACTGCCACCTTTCATTGTTGAAAGACTCGCTGGGTGAGAGTAATGGCTCACTTTTGACAGTTAAGGTAGTAATACCAAGAAAAGCAAAAGTAGAAAAAAATCTGTATGAAAATAAGACTTAAAGAGTTGAACTGTAAATAAATATTTTCTCTATTTTAATCTTGGTTAATTAGCCTGGAATTCGACAGCTAGACCTGAGGAGCAGGACACAGTAAAGTGATTTTTAGTTTCACTTGAGGGTGGAGAGAAGGGTTCTTGAGTGCGGTGGAGGTCAGGCAGCCACAAGTCTCCATCCTTTCTGCTTCATTAATTTTGTTAAAACATGATCTCATGTCTTCAGAAGTTCCTTTGGGGGTACTCGAGAATATCAATTCTAATTTGAACCAGAATACAACGTTTTGGAACAACAGTGTGAAATGAATAAAACAGGTTGGAATATAACAATGATACTGCTTATTAATTGCCACAACAATTAACCTTTAGCAATCAAAAAAATAACTGCTAACCATTTGAAAAACTCATTTATCCTGCATTTTGTGTAACTAGCTAGAATCTCTCTCTGTATTGATAAAACTCTTCACGAATTTGCGTGTCATCCTTGCGTAGGGGCCATGCTAATCTTCTCTGTATCGTTCCAATTTTAGTATATGTGTTGCCGAAGCAAGCACTGTATTGATAAAACTCTTGTCCAAATAACTGAAATATTTTATAACAGCTTCCACCATATTTATCACCAACAATACTCTACCCTACATTTTCCTTTTAATCTCCCTGCATTTGCTATTCACCCAACGCCATTTGTCTGAGATTTCAGTGTTACTCATGCCCAATGCCCCAAATGAGTCTGGCATGTTTTGATAGACATAGCAAACATTTTGACAGCTTGAGGACATTCAGAAAAATCTAACGGCAGATTATGACAGCTTTGACTCTGGAAGGATGAGAAATGTGGCAGTTTTAACCTGATTCTAAATACACAAAGCGTCAGACTGCTAGGATCTATCAAGAAGTCCACATTATAAACTAGCTACAGGAGAAAGTGAAACAACTACAGAAGGTTGGAGGGGTAGGTAGGTACTGTCTTCAAAGTATAAATTAAGCATGAGTAAAAGCCAGTGAAACTGAACAATCAATCTCAGTGTTTTCTTTTAAAAAATTTTTAAAACCCCAAGACTGGAATATTTATTTTAATATTACTTTCTTTTTTAAATTAATTTTTTAAAAATTATTAATTTTTGTGAGTGTACTGTCAAATTAGATCTGACTGGTACAGGAGGAGATTGGCCCTTCTTCTCCAGCAGAGCATCTGGTGGATTCAAACCTCACACCCTCCACGATTGTGGTGCAGCTTCTTGCCACTGGGCCACCAGAGCTCCCTTAAAATTG